GACAGGGAGAAGCCACTGGAGACCATATACCTGACCAGGTACAGCCACCTGCTCATGTATCTAAGCCCTCTTTGTTCTAGACCAGGGGCAGAATGGAGCATCCCTGGAGTCTGCCTGTCCCCTCTCTGAGTACCTGGGTCCAAGAGGGGAGGCAGGCACAATGGAGATAATGCTGCAAGAGGAAGAACAGAGGTCTCAAAATTAAATATCAGACTGCCCAATCCCAAATAGTCCTTGAAGCAGAAAGAAAAGGAGAGGGGCATCCATGGAGACAGGTGTGGCTACACAGGACAATGTTTATACTTTCAGATTACCAGAAAGACCCATGGAAATGATGGAAGGAAAATGACAGACTCTTAAGAACAATGTTAGGAAGTCAATGCCAAGGATGAGATGGGACTTGGGGAAAATGGTGGGCACAGTCCTGGCTTAGTTCTGTTCTGAGCAAGAGCATGAACAAGGAAGGAATGGCCCATGACAGAGAACAGACATTACTGCATTTACAGACGATAATACAAGAACTAACCCATGATTATTTTGCTTGTCTTCTTGTTCAAAATGATTGAAGACCATTTTGGTGAGGCCAACCTTGATAAGAGAGGCTAGAAGCCCAAGATCAAACATAAGATGGTACCAAGGAATTTGCTGCTCTGAATAAATGCCGATCTCCTGGCTTGGAGGAATGACCTGCCAGGCTAGAGGGCAACTTGCAGCTGAGTAGGGCTTGAGTGACTCAAGAGCTGAAGAATTCCCCAAAAGCTGGAGCTCCCCATGACATCCTGGCATTGCCAACTCTGCACTTCTGCTTGTTTCATTTCCTTCGGTCTGCATCGCCATCTACATCATCGTCACTCTTCCAGGCCCTCCCCCAGTGCAACTATTTCTGTAGTGAGATGTTTTCTGCTCACTGGGGGCCAGAAGGAAGTGCTGTGGCCTGAGTGGTGTCCTTGGAAAGACAGGGTTTGATACATGCATTGTGCAACATGCCTGCTTGACACAATAAGTGGTTTCACTTCCTGAGACAGACAGGATGCTGCCAGGTTTTGGGTCCAGGCTACAGTGCTGGGATGAGACACGGCAGAACTGTAGAGCCTACTACGTCAAGGGGCATTGCCCCATGGCTCCAGAATTTCCCTTGAGCAGAAAGAATGGAAGCTCATGCACCCTGGATACCAGAAGATGGAGAAGTAGATTCAAGATTCCTGATCTCTATCTCCAGTCCCACAAACAGAATGGATTAACTCAGAAATGATGCTCAGGTCCCTTGCATACTGCCCTTTCTGTCACTGGCTTTCATCCTCCTTCACTCAGCTTGTAATCACATCAACAGCCTGAAGTCATCTTTGTCTTCTCTGTCAGGAGAGCCCACAGAGCTATCAGACCACCAGGTCTTGCTGATCCCAGCATAAAGCCTCTGAGGAAGGTGGTAGTTCCTTCAATAAGGCTCGAGGATCAATGGTTCATTTGCAGAGTGGACCTTGTGGAGGCAAAGCAGAGGAGTCCAGCAGGCTCCCTAAACAAGGCCCCTGGGGTTTCTGAAGAACCAGACACCCAATTTTATGAGGGCTCAGAGTTGAGAACTGACTATTGCTTACCAAACTCACAAGAAATTGATTCATTGAACAAGATGCAACTTATAGATTCTCTGTGGAATATATAACTTACTAACGATGGAGTTCTTGTGTTTGCCTTCCTGATATCAAGGTACTGGGAGCCAAATTAAGAATCAGAAGACTGCTTGGTGAGAAAGCCCACGGATCTATCCTTGCCCCACAGTAGAGTCTATTTCCCTCCTGCCTGTAAAAGTCAGGGACTCTCTCCCATGGACAATGCAGAGCAAGCATAGTACCTGGTACATAGTAAGCATAAGCTTATGTGTCAAATTCCTGCAAACCATTACTGTCTGAATTCGCATGCCAGGCACTATGCTAGACCCAACTCTAAAAGAGTTCACAGCCTGCTAAGGGAACCAGATAATTGAGCAAGGTTTCAAATCAGTGCTATAATATAGATGTGCCAAAGGGGGTAGCAAATGCCTTGTTCCTAGACTCTACGCATCACTTAGGAGTTGGTCATTCATTAATTCTACAAATGTGAGAGTTACCCTTGGGCAGTACCCTGGGCAGAGGTACCACTCTGCTGGTCTCTGAGTTAAACAAAGTCTGGTACATTTCTATACACTAAAAAAAAAATGTCTGAAAGAGAACTAAAGAAAACAATCCCATTTACAAGAGCATCGAAAACAATAAAATACTTAGGAATAAATTTAACCAAGAAGGTGAAAGACCTGTACACTGAAAACTATAAGACACTGATGAAAGAAATTAAAAACAACACAAATAAGTGGAAAGATATCCCATGTTCATGGATTGAAATAATTAACATTATTAAAATGTCCATGCTATCTAAAGCCATCTATTGATTCAATGCAATCCCTATCAAAATTCCAATGGCATATTTCACAGAAATAGAAAAAACAATCCTAAAATCTGTATTGAACCACAGAAGATCCCAAATAGCCAAAGAAATCCCAAGGAAGAAGAACAAAGCTAGAGGTATCACACTTCCTGATTTCAAACCAAACTAAAAAACTATAGTAATCAAAACAGTATGGTACTGGCCATAAAAACAGACACACAGACCAATGGAACAGAATTGAGAGCCCAGAAATAAACCTATGCATATATGGTGAACTAATATTTGACACGGGAGCCAAGAATTCTCAACGGGGAAAAGATAGTCTTTCCAATATATGGTGTTGGGAAAACTGGATATTTATAAGCAAAGGAAATTGGACCCCTATCGCATATCACTCACAAAATTAACTCAAAATAGATTAAAGACTTAAATGTAAGATCTGCAACTGTAAAGCTCCTAGAAGAAAACATAGGAGAAAATCCCCTTGACATTGGTCTTGGCAATGAGTTTTTGGATATGACACCAAAAGCACAAGCAACAAAAGCAAAAATAAACAAGTGGGATTACATCACACTAAACGGCTTTTGCACAGCAAAAGAAACCATCAACAAAATGAAAAGGCAACCTTTGGAGTGGGAGAAAATATTTGCAAACCATATTTCAGATAAGGGATTAGTATCCAAAATATATAAGGAACTCATACAACTCTACAGCAAAAACAAATAATTCGATTAAAAAATGGGCAAAGGACTTGAATAGATATTTCTCCAGAGAAGACATGCAAATGGCCAACGGATACATGAAAAGGTGCCCAACATCACTAATCATGAGGGAAATACAAATCAAAACCACAAAGAGATATCATGTCACACTTGTCAGAATGGCTATTATCAAAAAGACAAGAGATAACAAGTGTTGGCGAGGATGTGGAGAAAAGGGAACCCTAGTGCATTGTTGGTGATATGTAAATTGGTGCAGCCACTGTGGAAAAGAGTATGGACGTTCCTCAAAAAATTAAAGATAGAACTACCACAGGATCCAAGATTTCCACTTTTAGGTATATATTCAAAGGAAATGAAATCACTGTCTCGAAGAGTTATCTGCTCTCCCATATTCATTCACTGCAGCATTATTCACAATAGCCAAGACATGGAAACAACCTAAGTGTCCATCAACGAATGAATGGATAAAGAAAATGTGATATATATATAAAGGAACATTATTCATCCATAAGAAAAGGAAATCCTGCCATTTGTGACAACATGGATGGATCTCGAGGGCATTACACTAGTGAAATGTCAGACAGAGAAAGACAAATGCTGTATGATCTCACCTGTATGTGGAATCTTAAAAAAAAAAGTGAAACTCATAGAAACAGAGAAAAGAAGGGTGGTTGCCAAGGGCTAGGGTGCAGGGACGATGGGGAGATGTTGGTCAAAGGATACAAACTTCCAGTTATAAGATGAATAAGTTCTGTGAATCTAATGTACAGTGTGGTAACTATCGTTAACTATACTGTATCACATACTTTAAAGTTGCTAAGAGAGTAGATCTTAAATGTTCTCACCACAAAAATATATATACATAATTATGTGAGGTGACAGATGTGTTAACTAACCTTATTGTGGTAATCTTTTTGCAATATATATTTATATCAAATCATCATGTTGTACACTTTAAACTTACACAATGTTATATGTAAATTATATCTCAATAAAGCTGGGGGGAAAAAACAAAGTCTAATAACTCCTGGAGTTATCAAGGGATATAGTCTCAGCTGGATAGTCTTATGAAAACGATATTCCACTTTTCAGAGATAACAGAAAATTCTTTTAGGCAGACAACATCTCTGCATTTTAAAACAGGATTGTGATCATGAAAGCTTGACTTAGTCACGATGTTTTCAAATATGTTCTCAATCCAGACTTGTTTCACTGTTCATCAAACGTTGATATGGATTCCATGTGTGATTGGCTAGGGTATCAGCACCTGGGCTGAAAGGGTTGAATGAGCCCCGTCAGAAGCCTGCACCCCTGCACAACCCTATTTTCTCTGCTCCATCCTAGGGAGGTCAAATGTCTTCCCAGAGGCTCCTGTAATTGACCCTGAGCTCCCAAGGTAGAGAACAGTGCCCCCAACCCAGAATGGGAGGGTGACTGTTACTTCCTTATGCCCATTATTCCATCTCCAAGTGGGAAGTCTCCTAAACTTAATTAAGTGCAAGGAGGGAGGGAGTGTGTTGGTGTGTGTGCATCTACGTGTCCTCCACTTTGTCCCAAAGATCCTAAATCAAAACATTCTTCTAACCTAGGAAAATCCCGTATTTTAAAATTGACATCATCTGCATAATGGTTGTCAGAAAACAATGCATATTTGCATGATGACACATTGGCACAACTGTGTCATAGTTTGCTGCCACTTACCCATCCATGAACTGGACAATTGTTTCAGTTTGCCCTCTCCAAGAAGTTCCCATCAATCCTCTTTTTCTTTTTTTTTTTAACTTGGTTGTGAAATCAGTTAACCAAAGGGGAAATTTCTCAGCTCCTCACTTCTGCTTTTGAAGGCCATAAAACAGTGAGGGAGAAATTGGTAGACAGCATACCTCTTCGAGGCACAACAGGCCACTCCAGGATTCTGTTCTCTCCAGCCACTCTTCATTGCTCAGGTACAAGTTGAACTGTTCCTTATGGCTAGGTCCTAGGGGAGTCTCTCTGTCTTTCTCTCTCTCTCTCTCTCTTTCTCTCCCTCCCTCCCTTCCTCTCTGCCTCTTCCAAAAATGCCAGGAGTACGGTTATGCTATGACCTGTGAAATATCCTGGGAATGAGCAATGCTTATCTGGCAGCTGACACCTGAGACATCAGTGTCAAAGGCTCTGCTCCAGGTTTCCTAACAAATACACTCCTGCTTTGGGTTTAGTTTAGCAAATGTTTTCCTCTGGACCCAAAAGAAGGCTCTTTCATGCATTCACTCATTCATTCAAAGATTGTTTCTTTGTATGCCTGCCATGTACTGAGGGAAACTGACATATGAAGGCAGTCCTCGTGGGGACTGGCATGGCAAGTGGTCACTCATTTTCTTCTCTTTACACAGGTTTCTAAAGCAGCCATGGCAGCAGTACCTGAACTCACCAGTGAAATGATGTCTTACTGCAGGTCAGTGGGCAGACTGAGACCAGCAATGTAAGCAGGGTCTCCCTTCAATAGTGGAGTGTTATCTGTGCTTGGAGACTGGTCCCCTAACTGCCTCTTCCAGTGGCAAGTAGGGTTCCAAGTTACCCTGGGGTGAAGTGTGATTTCCCATTGGAAATCCAGCGTTGAGACCCACAGGCTATCCAGATGTTGTTTCTGCAGGGGCTTCCTGCAGATGGTAAACAGAAAGAAAAGATTCCAAGTGGGCACTACAGGGGACCCCTTGGCAAAGTCTGGCTTGAGTGCAAAGGAAATCTCAGATTTTAACTGGGCTGGATGTTAGGTCTCAGGATCCAACAGGGAGCACCCAGGGTACCTGCCCTTCCTCCTATCCTGTTCCATGCATATCATCATGGAATTTGCCAGCTTCAGCAGCTTCAAGGGACATGATGTTTGCAGTTTCCTATTAACAGTGAAGACTGTTTGCAGGGAAGGAAAAATAAACTTGTCTAGGACAATTAACTGAGCAATCTCTCTGTTTTTAACACAGTGGCAAAGAGAATGACCAGTTCTTTGAGGAGGATGGTCCAAAACAGATGAAGGTGAGACCATGAGCTTAGCTCCCAACCCTTGCAGGGGCTCTGTCATGGGCATAAGAGAGCCCACATTCTGGTTTTGGGTCTGCCGCTAACTTGCCACGTGCCCTTGGGCAAGCCGCTTAATCTCTCTGGGCTTCAGAGAGACCAGTCTTTATCACTAGCAGCTCAGTTACCTCTAAGGCCCCTTCCACCTCTCTAATGTCAAAATGGGAGTTCTCTGGCCTGAGCACTTTAACAGATTCTCTCCCTTGCTCTCTTCACAGGGCGGCTTCCAAGATCTGGACCTCAGTTTCATGGGAGATGGGGGCATCCAGGTGCAAATCTCCCACCAGCTCTACAACAAGAGTTTCAAGCATGCCGCGTCGATCATTGTGGCTGTGGAGAAGTTGAAGAAGATACCCAGTCCCTGCTCACAGGCCTTCCAGGATGATGACCTGAGGAGCCTCTTTTCCTTCATCTTTGAAGAAGGTACCACTTAATGAGAGCTGAGGGCAGACAGATCTCCAGTCACTTCCTTCTAGGCATCCATAACTCAATAGTCAACTAAACTCCCCCAAACCTGAAGCCCTTTAAAAGTAGAAGGCACAGTGATGAGAGGAAGACAGAAGCCTAGAAACCAAATTAATCTTCTGTTAAATTGAAACTATCCCTAAAGTAAGACCTTGATAACTACTCACATTTGCCAATCACTCGATCATTCTGAGTGGTTTCACTTATATTATCTCTTGCAAGTCTCACCATATCCCTGTTGGGCCAGTGTTACTGCCATCGCCATTTTACATAAGTAGCTCTATTGCTAGTCCACAGCAAGCAATAGAGCTGAAGCTTGAATCCACATCTTATGGTGCCAGGTCCAGTGTTCTTACCTCAACTTCTTCCCCACCAATGTTATAACCGAACTTTGGCTGGCATGGTCAGATGTCCTCCAAGCAACCAACTTCTGCTGCCTCACACCATCAGGCCTGCCCTTCTGATTTTCTCTCTAAACAATATATGTGCTCCACATTCCAGAACCCGTCACCTGTGAGAATTGGGAGGATGAGCTTATGTGTGATGCAACCGTGCAATCGCTGAACTGCAGACTCCAGGACACACACCATAAATCCTTGGTGCTGTCCAGTGCGTGTGAGCTGCAGGCTGTCCACCTCAATGGAGAGAATACAAACCAACAAGGTAACTGGGGACGTCTTGATTCCTTTCTTGGCCTCCTGACACCTTGCTAATTCTCCACATTTTTTAACAAAGTAGGACATTAAGGCAAATTATCAACATAAGTGAAAAAACATACAACATATAAACTTTTTGTTTTGGTCCTGGCAACGACACCAGATTGATTCCCTTAGCACATTCATTTTTCAGCAAGAGATGTAACTCTGAGAAATCAGACTGCTCAAGCATACCCAGGACCATTGTCCAGCCAAGTCATTTAATGATAGTGCAATGGCAATGCTTCCATTGGAAAGGGGTCATTTGATGGACATGACCTAACTGCCTGTGGGTTCTTTTTTCCTGTTGTTGAAGTTGAAACTAGCATGGTGAAGAGATAACATGCCCATCCTCATTCCCAACCCTGCACCCTTGCCCCTAACATCCTTCCCGCCTAATACCAGATGGTTCCTTCTAGGGAAATTTTACTGACAAGCAGGAACTCATATCTCTCTACTGTAACTCACAAATGTTTCGAGACTGGGCAGCCCACTACTTGAGGAAATCTGCCTGGCACCTTGCCACTGTGGCTGAACTCTGCATGCAGGAGTATGCCCAAGGGAACAGCTGAAAGCAGCAACCTGTTCTCTTCCAAGGCTGCTGACCTTGGAGAGAGGCAT